TGGTTAGCAATAGACTACTGAGAAACTAGACGTGGACCTTTTTTAACTTTTAGTTGGAGAAAGTGTCTGAGTAAAAGAAACTGCCCCATAGTGTAAAATAAACTCACAAACTGCCTCTCAGTGTAATTCTTTCTTTATTACACAATAAAACACTTTTGGGCTCCTCACTCACTTATGCACATATTTCAACGTCTATCCTAACAAAACTTTATGAGTAAGCTTTATTCTCTCTCCTTTATTTTTCTTCTTTATTTTCTGAATATTTCTGAGCTTTTCCTAAGCTTTTCTTTATGTGATTGTGGTCCCTCCAATATTTATATTCTCGTCGTTGAAACACATCTGTAAGACCACTCATACAATATTGAAGAGAGGTTGTGACGGTGGAGGCGGTGATATGAGCATAATAGATCGATTATAGGTGACTTTTTTGTTTAATGTGAACTAATTAATATACAAATAATTTCATACATATATTAAGAAATAAATTCAAATCTAATTTTTGGGTATTACTAAATTAATCACAGATTTCTACTGATTTATAGTTAAAAATATGCAATTATTAATTCGAATAAAAAAACTTAAATTTTAATATTTGAAAATTATAATAGATTATCTCACTCTAAAAAATAATTAAAGAGTTACGTTAAGCAAAATAAACGACCGTACAATTTTATTTGTACATGTACATCTTAACATATGCACAACATTTATTGTTAAAACAATGTACTATGTACACATATACATATGACATGTGTACGATTATATGTGTATATGTGTACATCTTCACATGTGTACACTCTTTATTGTTAAAACAATGTACTATGTACACATATATGTGGACATGTGTACATGTGTACACTGTTTATTGTTAAAACAATGTTCTATGTACACATATACATATGTACATGAGTGATCTTCACATTGTGTACACTATTTATTATTACACACATTTGCAAGTTTCATTGTCCATATATTCATATGATGAATTTATTACATATACATATTCATCAAATATAATCGTTATGTACATATATATTCATTGTCCACGGATTCAATAATTTCATACAAAATTACATATACTCCCATTCATTTATACATTGCACAAGATATGGCACAATGGTGTGTTGCAGTAAATTAATATACATCATATTTGTTGGATCTTCAAGTTGCAAACAATCCCACATTCAGCAACTAGGCAATATAACATCATATGTGTACAGTATAACATAAGTGTACATATGTACAATATAATATAAGTGTATAATATAATATAGGTACACATGTACAATTTTATGCTATTGACATCAATGACATGTACACCACCACTGTTATTGCTCTCATTCTATTATAACACCGAAGAAAGAAGTAAAATTCAACTTATTGTAACATACATAAGCTCATATCAATATTTGGGGAAACTGTTTTTTTAGACCAAATAGATTTAGACATTGTCCCTTTAGTTTAAATTATATTTTGTACCAATTTTGACTTTAATACCCTTTATTTATTTCTGAAATTATTAAAAAAAATAGATTTATGAAGCAATTTTTTTTTTTAAAAAATAGTACATAGTGATAAAACCCTTATATCTATATAGTGATATTTTTTTCATGTTTTAAAAATATGTAAATAATAATTTCATATATTATTCTACCGAAATTAGAATCCGTATACTACGGATTAGAATACGGATCCACTTTTTTCACTATTTCTACGAACTGCAGAATATGTTTTCTACGAAGATAACACGAATCTAAAATAGTTAGGAATACACATTCCACGCATATCATAGAGTTCTAATAAAAGTAGAAATTGAAATCTAAACTTTTACTTAAATCTAAAACAAGTAGAAATCGGAATCTACATTCTCACAACGTTCTAATACATGTAGAAACTGATTTCATATCTTTTTACACAGTTCTACCTTTAGTAGAATCTGAATTCTATGGATAAATATTATTAGATCCGAAAATATAGCAAGAATATATTAGGAAATATCCGATTTCCATATTTAAAATTCAACTTTTTTTAAAAAAAAATATTTATTATATTTTTTTAAAAAAAATTACTGTGGACGAGGTGTAAATATGGAAACCAATCCGATTTTTTTTTAAAAATCTGATTGAGTATTACTGTGGACTAGGTGTATAATTTTAGTTTATTAAATTTAAATTTTTTATAAAAAAAAATTATTAAAAAAAAAATTTTAAAAAAAAATTTATTATATTTACACCCATCCGAAAATATAGCAAGGATATAAAATTTATTTTTATTTTATCCTTTTAGAATAATATTATATTTTAATATTTATTAAAAAAACAAAATTCAATTTTTTATAATTATAATTAACCTAATTACGAATTAATAACTAAAACTATATAATTTAAGGGTAGGATTGCCATTCAGAAAATATTTAGCCTAATGAGACAATAAATAAATCAAATTAACCTAAGGGGACAATGTCCAAAGCTATTTGGCTTAAAAAAACTATTTTATCATATTTAAATGATTACCCCAGCACTAGGCATGTTCAATCTGGTGTTCGGTCCGGTTTCGGTTCGGTTTTTTCAGTTTTCGGTTATTCGGTTTATAAAAATTAGCTACCATATTGGAACCATATTTAATTTGGTTTGGTTCGGTATTTATACTACCGGTTTTCGGTTTATTCGGTTTTATACCAAATAACATTATTATTTGATTTGGTTTCATATTATATGATTTTTTTAAAATATATATATTGTCAAAACTATCGTTTATTAAAATAATCCTAGATGTTCATAAATATAAAAATGTGAAATTACCTACAAACAAAACGACCAACGATTCATTTTTGTACAGCTTTTCTTATTTTCTCTTTGTTCTTCCAAATAAATTACATGGTACAATCTAATTTCACAATTTCTTATAACATGCAAAATCAAATCAAATTTAGATAATAGTTGAAGAAAATAAAATAAAATTATTAAGATATATCTTCACAAGGAATAAAAAACTAAAAAAAACTATTCCAAGAAAATAAATGGTTATATAATGTATATATTTATATATTTTTTTCTTTGATCGGATTTGTTCGGTTTATTCGGTTTAATCGGTTATAAACCTAACCATATCCAAATCCTACGATTTTTATAAAATCATATCCATTCGGTTTATATGGTATATACCAAATCCAAACCATATTGTCTATTTCGGTTCGGTTCGGTTCGGTACGGTTCCGTATTATCATATTGAACAGCCCTACCCAGCACTCCAAACGTTAAATCTAGGACCATAATCACTCTTCAACACTTCAGGAGGAATGCAATATGGACTCCCAACAAACTCTGTAAGCTTATCTATTAGAAAAGAGCAATAAACTTTACATAAGAAGCAGATTCACAGGTTGAACATAAATATCCCAAATATGATCTTGACCTCGCAACGGACAGATGTCCTCGGTCGTCTTTACATAATAAGATCCAAAAATCAGGACGTTCATTTGTATCAGACACAATCCAAAGTGCTTTCTTGCTATAGAGCATGTGTATCTTGCTCCTGAATTTATCAATAATCTTCAAAAATAATCACAATATGCCTAGCTCAAAATTATGTACTCATCAACTCGAAATCTATGTTCATCAAAATAATTTTTAAAAATTCCAGTCTTGTGGATCCAAAAAATTATTGTCGAAGAGAAGGATATAAGTAAGAGAGTTTACCACAAAATATGATATCGCCCCTGGTCATCCTCTTTGGAGAGATTCATCTACTGCTTAAGTATTCTTAATCGCATGAATCACTTCATGCCTCTGGAGAATTAGGGTCAAATGTTTTTCTCGACAGTTAGGATTTGGATTCAGCTATAGCAGATGTTTCTGATGCGGAGGATTTGGAAGACGCAAATGATCCCCTGAATGATTTTCCACCGCTACAAGCCTCTACAACGACTTTCTGTTGGGCTATATATCGTGCTCACGCCGTTATTCGTCTTGAAGCTTAAGAATTTTCTTCTGTTTGATGCCGGATTAATCAAAGAAGTTATTGTCATAGAATTCATCAGTTTCTGGATTTAATTTTTTTAATATAAAATGGGGAAAGTTGAATCATGAGAGATGGTGAAAACTCAATACGAACTGAAAATGAAGAAGAGGAGAGAGGAATGCTAGCTGTTGAATTGCGTGGGTTTACTTTTTCTTTTTCTTAATTCATTTCTCTTTTATTTTGTTAATCAATTTAGTTTGCGCATTTTTGTGAAGGTTAAATATTAGTTAAGTTGTAACTTGTAGTTACTATAGAAAGATAACATACATCAAAAACTGTGAAAAAGTGTGTGGAGCAATAAGTGTCCTAGAATGATATACAAACTCAAAATGTGACTCATAGTGTAATTCTTTCTATTAAAAAATATAAACTGGTCCTCTATGTAATTCTTTCTATTAAAAAATAGAAACTGGTCCTCTATGTAATTCTTTCTTTAATCGGGGGAGAGAAGAACCTTGCCGAAAGACTGGTGCTTTAATAGGTTTGATAATAATTTTGGGTCTGAACTTTCTAATACCTCTCATTTTAAAACTCTAAAAACTCGTCCAATCATATTTTCGATGACCGTATTAGATTTTTCTTTTAATATTTGAGATTCGGAATTTGGGATCAGTGCCGGCATAACATATAGGGTGGTTAGTGCAACCGTCCCAGAGCCTATATCAACAGTTTTTTTTTGTTTTTTTTAAAAAGAAATTGTTAATTTGTAAGAATTGGATAATAATATTAAGTTTTAATTTAGATAATGCTATAAAACTATGATAATGTAGAAGAAATTGAAAAGATAAAAAAAAATAATTAATTAGTTTAATAGTAATTTTAAATTATTTTTCCAAATAATATATTAATGTATACTTAAAAATTAGCTTAAAACTTTTTTTTTTGTCTAAGGGCCCGTACTTTTGAAAAAAAAATTTTGCCCAGGGGCCTTTATTTGTATTGAGCCGGCCCTGTTTGGGAGAAGGATAGTAGATTAGATCATGTTTACGGGAAGAGGGACGATTGGATCGAAAGCCGACCGGGAAAGGATTAGCGAAGCTTCCGATGTTAATAGGTCCAAGGGCAAAGAAACAGCCGGAGCAAACTCGGTGTTGATGGGGAAGCAAATACATGATTCTCGTTCTGCTACCCTCTCCCCGACTGACATTTTTGAAGGTGAGATTCGTTATAGTTATTTCAGTTGCAGATTGTTTGATTTGATTGGAGTTGGTATTTATTATTGAACTCATAACTCATATTTCGAACTTTACTTTGCACTTATGTTGATGTTACCAAACACGTAAAAGCTCTTAACTCTTACTTACTTAAAATCGACTTGGAAGATTGATAATGATGAACTGCTTTTTGGGTTTATCTTAGGCTCGGCTTTTGTTTTCAAATCGAGTTATATTGTATGAAGTCATCTTTGTCCTGTTGTTATTGTTGTGGTCGAGCAACTAATGTTTTTGTGGGCATTTCTTAGCTGTAGAAGACTCAGAGGTCAGTGGTTCCGACCAAGAAGACTTGGCATGGACTACCTGGTTCTGTAAACTACCTGGGAACAAGTTCTTATGTGAAGTCGATGATTATTTCATCCTAGATAACTTCAACTTGTGTGGACTCAGACATCAAGTTCCTTACTACGACTACGCTCTCGATTTGATTCTCGATGATGATTCTACTGCCCGTGGTAAGATTATTACAGATGAACAGAACGAACTGATCGAGTCAGCAGCTGAGATGTTATACGGATTGATTCATGCTCGTTACATATTGACAGACAAAGGCTTCCTTTCTATGTTAAACAAATACACTACTTCTGATTTTGGAAGATGTCCTAGACTTCATTGTAGTGGCCAATCTTGTTTACCTGTTGCTCTTTCTGATGTCCCTGGAGCAAGTACCGTGAAGATATATTGTCCCAAATGTGAAGACGTTTATCACCCACCATCAGAAGACCAAGGAAGTAGTATCCTTTTGTTGGTTCGCATTCAATATTTCTTCCTAATCGTTGGATTTTGATCTTCTTTAAACATATTAAAACAGATATAGATGGAGCTTACTTTGGAACAGCGTTTCCACATCTGTTTTTTATGTATTACCCATCTAGGAGGCCAAAAAAGGTGTCGTCTCAAAGCTATGTTCCAAGAGTGTTTGGGTTCAAGTTACACAAGCCGTGAAGTAAGTAGCAAAAGGAAGAAGAATATTACCTAGAGACTTGTCCCTGTTATCATATACAAAGTTGGCTAGCAACTAGTTCTCTCTCTCTCTCTCTCTCTCTCTCTATATATATATATATACAGTATATGTCTTTGTGTTGTTGTAGCCTTTTACGTTTTAGATCCATTTACCAGGCATGCAATTCTCAACTACTACCATATTGTTCACTTTTTTTTTCCGGAGGTTATTCCTGTTTTATATCTGTTTAGGCTTTTGTTCAGTTGCGATAAAAGTTCAGTAATAGCGGATAAAAGCATCTACCACTACCATATTGAACATTACTATCTAACTAGAAAAGATCCGCTCTTTGAACATAGTAAAAACTATAAAAATCTTACTACATAAATTTTGGTTTTCAATCTTACTAATTAGCATGATCGTGACAAATCATATGGTGATTATATATTTAATATTCTGACATGTGTTAGATAAAAATTTTCTTTAAACCTAAAATAATTTAAAAAGTTCATTTTCCTTAAACTAATTTTTTTCTCTATATATATACATATTTTATGTCCTTGTGTTATTGTGGGATATAAATACATTTAGTAGGTATGCAATACTTAATTATTACTTTATTGCTCATTTTTTTTTGTTTTTTTTCCGAGGTTATTACACAACTTCTCAATCTCCGCCCCTCATTGCGGGGGTCAAAGACTACTTGTTGGTAACATTTTCGACCGAACCTTGTGTATATGATACAAATGAAAATGTTTGGAAGAAACTAGATGTTGTACCCTCGAGCACAAACAATATCTTAGGTTACTGGAGACAAGCTTTTGTTGGTTGGACTTTCTAAATCTTGGCATAGGACAATAGTGTACTGTCCTTCTACAAACTTTGAAGTGCAGTTTTGGGAAGAATTAAGACACCATTGCAGTGGTGATCATCTCCACCAATTTATCCAAAAACTGTTGTGTGATATTTGCATAAAATTTGGTTCGAGATAGATTTAGGAACATGCTTGATTTGTTATTTTGTTTTCTTGTGTTTTTATTTTGCATTGGGGAACAAAAGGCAGTGTTTTCATTTGTTTTATGCTGTTAAATATAAGTGTTTATGTTCATGTTAATTAAAATAATATCGTTTAGGTTTATTTAATGTTTACTAAATTTTGATTTGTTTTGAAAGTGCGGAATGATTTTTCAGTTTAACTATTTTGATTTAAAGGAAAAATGATTTTTTGTTCAAATTGTAACATTTCAGTTTTAATGTCTACTAGATCTTGACCCGCACAACCGTGCGGGTCTTTTTTTATTTATAGTTTATAAAAAAAATATCAGTAAATAAAAATATATTTACTTATAAAATCTTGCAAAATTCTAAAGTGATAGATGTTAAAACATCTTTTTACGTTTTAGATCCATTTACCAGGCATGCAATTCTTAACTACTACCACATTGTTCACTTTTCTTTGCTTTTTTCGGGAGGTTATTCATGTTTTATATTTGTTTAGGCTTTTTTTCAGTTGCGATAAAAGTTCAGTAATAGCGGATAAAAGCATCTACCATATTTATTGAACATTAAAATCTAACTAGAATAAGACCCGCTCCTTGCACGGAGTAAAAATTATAAAAAAAATATTATATAAATTTTAGTTTTCAAAGTTACTAATTAACATGATCGCGACGCATGGAATTATATATTTAAGATTCTGACATGTGTTAAATAAAAATTTACTTTTAAAAATAAATTAAATCAAAAATAATTTAAAAGGTTAATTTTCCTTTTTTAAATAATTGTATCACGAAGGAGACAACTAATATTTTCTCTCTCTCTCTCTCTCTCTCTCTCTCTCTATATATATATATATATATGTGTGTCTTTGTTTTATTGTGGGATATAAATACATTTAGAAGGCATGCAATACTTAGTTGTTACCTTATTGCTCACTTTTCTTTGTTTTTTTCGAGGTTATTACACAACTTCTCAATCTCCGGCCCTCATTGTGGTGGTCAAAGACTACTTGTTGGTAACATTTTCGAACGAACCTTGTGTATGTGATACAAATGCAAATGTTTGGAAGAAACTAGATGTTGTACATGTGAGCACAAACAATATCGTAGGTTGGGGAGTTGCGTTTAAATCAACTGGAGACAAGCTTTTGTTGGTTAGACCTTCTAAATCTTGGCATAGGACAATAGTGTATTGTCCTTCTACAAATTTTGAAGTGCAGCTTTGGGAAGAATTAAGACACCGTTATGGTGGTGATCATTTCCACCAATTTATCAAATACTGTTGTGAGATGTTTGTATAAACTTTAGTTCGAGATAGACTTAGGAACACGCTTGATTTGTGTTTAAAATAAGTCTTTGGCGATCTAAAGTCGTAATTTTATGTTGTTATTTTGTTTTCTTGTGCTTTTATTTTGCATTGGGGAACAAAAGCTAGTGTTTTCATTTGTTTTATGTTGTTTAATATAAGTGTTTGTGTTCATGTTAAAATACTATCGTTTAGGTTTATTTAATGTTTACTTAATTTTGACTTGCGCTTCGAAAGTGCGGAATGATTTTTCAGTTAAACTATTTTGGTTTAAAGGAACAATGAATTTTTGTTCAGATTGTAATATTTCAGTTTTGGTGTATACTAGATCTTGATCCACACAATCGTGCGGATCTTTTTTATTTAGAGTTTATAAATTATAAAATAAAAATATAAATTATCATTAACAACATAAAAATATAAATTATCATTAACAACATAAAAATATAAATTATCATTAACAACATAAAAATATAAATTATCATTAACAAATATTTATCTATAGTATATCTAAATAAATGTTAAAATATATTGTAAGCAAATCGCAGAAAATAAAACTCTATATTATAGAAGATTATATATTTGATTATTTCAGATTATAATTTATGTATTAAACTCAAAATATATTAATAAGTAATAACAATCAATAAGAATCTAAATTAAAATATATAAAACAAATTACTATATATTAATAATGATGAAAAAGAAACTTAAACAACAAAATTATAGAGTTATATAATATATAACATTAAATGTAAATCATATAGTTAATTTTTTTTATAATACTATCAAAGTTTTATATTTATAAAATGAAAAATCTGTGTGGTTCAAACTCTAGTATATAGTTTTTTATTTATATTTTAGGATTATATACTGCTATCTAGATAAATGTCAATATCTTAAACAAAAACATTTGTATTTCAAATAAAAGATAAATATATGGGGTGATATTATAATTAAATTATGTAAAATTTGAGAACTGTTTCAAAGAATGGATCAAATAAAAAAAATTATACATGAAATAACTCATGACTTCGTTTTAGTGGTATAGATAGATAAATATATAATATATTATTTTGTATATTTGAAATAGAATTTCAGTATTTGTTTCTAGCATAATCTATTTAAATTTTTTAAATAAGTATCTTTTGAAAATCCATAAATTTATATTATTATTCTGATTCAATATTATTATAAATATTTTAGATGATTTTAAATTTTCATTTATAAATATAATAATAATTACAATGATATTTTATGATAATTAGAATTTGAATTTAGTGTTATAAGGAAATACAATTTAAACAGATACCAAAAAGATTTAGTTAAATTTATTTCATTTGTATTTCAAATAGAAATATAAAGATATTTAAAAATATTATCATTAAATTATGTAACGTTTGATAATCTTTCTAAGGAATAGTCCATTTAAAAAAAAACACATGAATTAAGGTTATTATTTATGTTTTAATATATAAGATAAGTTGTTTTGTTTCGTACAATAAAATAGATATTTTCAGTAAAAAAAAAAAGTGTGATCTGTTCTTTTGATATAATCTAATACAAAAGAGATTTAATATGCATATTTAATTAGTATGACATTCTAAAGTAGAGAATATGCATTTTCATTATTCAAATATAATAAAGATATGGATTGTTAGCCATAATAATTGAATTTCCCATATCCTACATTCATATCATAATCTAAGTAAATAGTGATACGATTATGAACCCAAATATTTTTGTTATCGTTATTATTGGGTTTCTTCGTAAAATTAACACTATTTGTTTTATAAATACATAATGACATGCGTTTTTAAAGCGCCGAATAAATTTTGGTTACAAAACTTTTATTTAATAGAATGTTAACATAAATATTTGAGATTTAACATTTTAATTTTCGATAAATTACAAAGCTGGAAGATCGTCGTTAATTGCTACAAAGAAGCACGATGCGCTTTGGTGCATTGTGAATGCTTATACTTCATACGGGTTTATGATTCCTGATCAAACCGTGGCGATAGTCTAGAGATCACTTTGAAAAAATTACTCACTACTTTGAACAAGTTGTGGACGAGGTAACAATATCTCTCTCTAGACCATGTCCATCTGATTATCATCACCTTTGTTGTATTTTTGGTGTTCTGTAATGTGAGATTTACAATCTTTTTGAATGAAAGGTGTGAGGTGTACATCATGTTTAATGAGTACTCCTTAGGACACTTTGTTGAGTTTTTTGACACTTTAGGACACATTGTGCTAAAGGAGCACATTCACAGATTCCAAGAGATTTTTAGGACGGAATTGCCCTTCTGTCCACCAAAAAGTGACAAGTGAAACCGGTTGCGTTTTGTTAGTAGTTAGATTGATTAGTTAGGAGATCGTTTACTTTTTCAATGTATGAGTTACTATGGTATATTTATAGAAAAAAATTGTCTTTTGAGCCGTTAGATGTGAGAAGTAAAACTAGATCGCAGGGTCTACGGCTATCAATTATTTTTGTGATTTTTAGTATTACTAAATAAATAAATTTGATATAAATAAATTATAACTTTTTATCGTCTATATTTTAAGATCCATTTTAATATATTTTAACAGTTTGAATAAAAAACATATCAACATAAAAAAAAAAACAAATTTGTGGATATATAAGTTGTGGATAGAAAAATAATGTGGACATGGAAACAAAAAATATATTAAAAATGTGGATATGGATTAATATTAATTTGAGAAAGGTGATTTCACATTAACTTAATGTAGTTATTAAGTTAACAAAAGATCAAATCAAACGAAATCATATATGCTTCCCACAAAACTAAAACTGAGAGTTCTTTTCTAAAACATATAATACATATGTTTTATGGATAACAAATGCAATAATTTTCTGTATTTATATGTTTATTTTGAATTTGCATATATAATTTCATACATTGATGATTATAGTCGTAAGTGCTGGACTTACTTTCTTGCAGAGAAATCTGAGGCACTCAAAGTCTTCAAAGAGTTTAAAAGCGCAACAGAGAGAGAATTTGGAGGTCTGTTGGTGTGCCTAAGGACTGATCGTGGAGGAGAATACAACTCCAAAACCTTCCAAGAGTTCTGTGTAGAGCAAGGTATCAAGAGGCAACTCACAGCAGCTTACATGCCTCAACAGAATGGGATCGCAGAGAGGAAAAACAGAAGCATTATGAACATGGTGAGATGTATGTTATTTGGTATGAAGGTGCCTCTGAGATATTGGCCTGAAGCAGCTCAGTACGTGGTTCACATACTCAACAGAAGTCCAACAAAGATCCTTGGAAATGTCACACCAGTAGAGAAATGGAGCCAACACAAACCTGCAGTAGACCACCTTCGAGTCTTCGGACGCACAGCTTTTGCTCTAATACCATATGAAAGAAGAGTGAAACTGGATGAGAAGGGAATCAAATGTGTGATGTTTGGCGTAAGCAAGGAGTCCAAAGCATACAGACTGTTGATCCAAATGCTAAGCGGATCATCATCAGTAAAGATGTGAGGTTTGATGAGAAGAAGGAGTGGGACTGGGAAGAAAAGGTTGAGGAAGACAATTTTGTTAAGTACAATGAAGAAGATGAAGCAAGAGAAGTAACACCTGAGACACATGGGGAAGCTGAAGGAGTAGAAAACGCTGATGTCACTGGTGCTGAAGAGGAAACAATCGCTGAAGAAACAAGAACAGAAGTGAGAGAATCAGAGGCTGGTAGGAGCAGAGCAGGGAGAAGCAAGCAGAAACCAATATGGATGAGAGATTACGTGTGTGAAGATAGAGGCATGATCACAGAGGAAGATGGTGAAGATAATAGAGAGATGATGGCGATGTATGTGGACTTTGCTGATCCTGTGAAATTCGAAGAAGCTGTTAAACAAGATAGATGGAGAAGAGCAATGGAGGAAGAGATGAGTTCCATCGAAGAAAATGACACTTGGGAGCTGATTGAACCACCTGAAAACACCAAAGTGATAGGATTTAAGTGGGTTTATAAAACCAAACTTAATGAAAGAGGCGAAGTAGACAAGTTTAAGGTGAGACTGGTGGCAAAGGGATTTCACCAGACGCATAGAGTGGACTTCTATTAGGTGTTTGCACCAGTAGCTAGGTGGGACACAATCAGGATGATCCTTGGAATAGCAGCACAACGAGGGTGGAGTGTTTTCCAGCTAGATGTGAAGAGTGCTTTCCTCCATGAAAAGCTGGATGAGGATGTGTACGTGGAATAACCGTAGGGATTTGAAGTTGAGGGAGCCAGAGACAAAGTTTACAAGCTGAAAAAGGCATTGTATGGCCTGAGACAAGCGCCTAGAGCATGGTACAGCAGGATCGAAAACTACTTCACATCAGAAGGCTTTGAGAAGTGTTACTGCGAACACACTTTATTTGTGAAGACAGAAGAGAAGAACATGCTCATTGTAAGTCTTTACGTAGATGACTTGATCTATACAAGCAACTCTAAGCAGATGATGGAGGAGTTCAAGCTATCTATGGAAAAGGAGTTTTCAATGACATCTCTAGGAAGAATGAAGTATTTCCTTGGCGTAGAAGTTGTTCAAGATATTCATGGGATTTTCATCAGCCAGAAAAAAATATGCAGCAGAGACTCTACAACGATTTGGATTGGAGAAGTGCAACTCGGTGAAAAACCCTGCTGTTCCTGGCCTAAGGTTAACGAAAGAAGGATCAGGAGTGACTGTGGATCCTACTGAGTTCAAGCAATTGGTTGGTAGTCTGAGGTATTTGACTGCAACAAGACCGGATCTCATCTACTCTGTGAATCTAGTAAGCAGATACATGGAGGAGCCAACTGAGCAACATATGTTGGCGGCTAAACGGATCATGAGGTATGTGCAAGGAACCTTGAACTTTGGAATACAGTATAAGCGTGATGGAGAAGAAGGGTTGGTAGGTTATGTAGACAGTGATTATGCTGGTGATAGTGACGATAGAAGGAGCACCTCGGGTTATGTTTTCATGTTAGGAGGAGCAGTAGCATGGTCATCTAAGAAGCAACCTAGTGTCACCTTGTCAACTACAGAAGCTGAGTATGTGGCTGCAGCAAATGGAGCATGTCAGGCTGTTTGGATGAGAAACATTCTTAAGGAGATTGGGTTTGATCAAGAAGAGTTCACAACTTTATGGTGTGACAACAGCTCGGCTATAAAACTTTCAAGAAACCCTGTCTTACACGGAAGAAGCAAACATATCCATGTTAGGTTCCATTTTCTGCGTGAGTTGGTAAATGAAGGTGTGATAAGTTTGGAGTATTGTTCTACGGAGGATCAATTGGCGGATATAATGAATAAGCCAGTGAAGTTGGAGGTGTTTGAAAAGCTTAGAAGAGCAGTGGGAGTCTGTTTGAAGATCGATTACTGAAAAACAGAGTGTTTTCAGTTTACATGAGCAATGGGGGTCATGGAGTCTGTTTTTGTTCTTTAGACAAACACGCTTCTATTCTCTATGCAAAATTGCAGGTTTTCCAAAAGCTATATATAGGGGTTCACCACCCGCATGGCTAAGATCCACAAGCGTTAGGCGGTGCCGTTGGACCATCATCCACTGCCCTCAACTTCAAAGGTCCTTTCTTTTTACTCAAAAATTCAAATTGGTTTGACGAAATCTAACTAAACATTTTTTGTTTTCCTCAGACTGAAGAAAAAGAAGAAGAGTGATTTCAAAGATCAGAACTTTTTATTTATTATTCATTTTCAAACAAAAGAGAGTTTCCCATTGCGTAAACAACTCTAAGAACAGTTTCAATATCATCTGAAGACGAATCAGTGAAGACCATAGTCACCTAACTCAGTAGAGTACTCACCATCTCCTTCCCCTTCTCCACCGTTTAGCTCTGAGATTGACTCTCCCACTTTACCCTGACTTCCTTTCGGTGCAATCATTTGGTTAACTCCATGAACAACAATCCACTCATTGGCAAACATATCCGGAAAGATGAGTGGGACTCCATTGAGAAGAAGAAAATCACCAGACCAAGAAAGCTCAATCTCATACCCTTTGAGAGCAGTCTGCAGAATCGACCCTTCCCACGCAAGTTTCTCAAGATCTTTCCACGAGAGAAGCCTCTTGATCACATGTCCTCTGAAGATAGTAGCGTAATCTGAGAACTTGCTGACTGATATGGCTTCGTCGATCGGAGCGAAGACCGTGAGCTTCGTTTCGTTCCCTGGAGGAGAAATCTCAAGCTGTAGAGCGAGAAACGTTGCAACGATCACGAAGCCTCTGGAGAGTAACAAACTCGAAGCAGAGTCGAAGATGTTGAAGCAATTCCCCGGTTTAGATTTAACCGGTGAGCTAGGAGCTGAGCTAGGGATCGGAATCGAAATCGAATCCATTGGTTCTTCATCAGGAGATGAGATCGAAGACGACGGTGGGGAAGCAACGATCGGCGGTGCGAAAAACTCGTCGGAACTGTAGATCACGACGTATCCGTCGTCGAAGAGAGGAGAATCTTGGACTACGACGCCGTTTATGGAAAGATTCGCTCCACGGGAGCGAGAAGAGTTGGTGACGGTTAGAGAGGAGTTAGATCTGAGAGTAGGGAGTTTCGCGCCGTGAGGAAGGTTCGTTAGGGTTTCGCCGGGGAGTCGCGTCGGAGAGAGGTGGTACTTGATAGAGAGAAGCGACGGTTGGCCAGATACGGAGAAAGCTTGATCGGAAGGAGCGAAGATAGTGAGTTCTTGCCAATCTTCGAGGCGGAGGTCGTTGTTGGCGAGCTTTAGAGTGAGTCCCATGGAGAAGTAGCCGGAATCGCAGAGGACTTCCACGGCGGAGGAGATAGTTGCCACAGAAGCATTAGAAAGTGAGACGAGAGAGAGGAAGAAGAAGGAAGTTAGAAGATTCGACGCCATTGACGCCGTTCTTTGAGCTAGAGATGTTTGTTGCAGAGAAAAGCCGTTGCAGGGAAGTTACAGTCTATAGAAGTCCATCCTATTAAGGGCGGGAAAGATGTGGGCTTAGTTACTGGGCTTTTACTCTTGGGCCCATTTTAGCTCTGATGAATATGGACGTCGGCTACTTTGCGTTTTGATTTATGTTTTTAAAGATCTGTTTCGTCGTTATGAAAAGCTTCTTTCATGTTGCCATAGACCTTTGTTTCTCTTTTAAAAGATAAATGACAAAAGTATTCTCGAAACCAAGGGTCAAGAAACTTTGATTACACAGGGTCTGAAAATCCGTTCACAATTTACTGGTAAAAGTACATCACTTTTGATCATTGTTTAAAGTACATCAACCATTGACAATTTTTTTTTGAGAATTTGAGAGGGCACACTTCTTCCCAACTCATCAATTTTGGAAAATCAATTCACAATTTATGGTACATCAACTCATTTTTGAGGGAACTTCTTCCATAACTTTTAAGTTTCAATTGATAACACTTTTTTTAAAAAAAATAAGAAGCTAAAGGATGTTCCTCAAAATTTAACTTAAATGAATTGAATATAATATTTTAGTGGAAGTACAATAGTCTAGTGGTTAAAGTTTAAATGTTTCTATGTTCAGGGATTTGAATATCATACTATGCAATTTATACACCAAGAGATCTGAGTATTAATTTCGGGAAAATGTGAATTATGCAGAAAATTGAAAAAAACATTTACAAGAGATCTTCAGCATGACGCAAGCAATACCATTATGAATAAGATCTCACTGAGCAGCTCAACGTGATGCAATTAGATGTGAATCGTCATAAAACAGATAGAATTATCCGCTATAATATCGTCTTTGTAATGTTTCTCGTAAGTTGTAATAGCATAATTAACCAAATAAAAAAAAAGAATGGAATATAATATTGATTATTTTTCATCTCTCTAAATTAATTTTAATGAATTATAAAGCAATTTTATTCTCCCAAAAGTAAAGAGTTGTTTCAATCTTATTTATTTAGTTTTTTTTTCTAAACTTCATTCACTTATAGTAAAAAATTGCTCCAAAATTTCCATAAAAATTATATTCATTCCTTAAATGTATTCAATTATTTATTTTCTTTTATTTCTTTTCATTCCTTTACTATCATTCATTTTATTATTCAATTTTGAGTCAATCTTTTTATTAAAGTTTCGCAGTATAAATAATTAGAAATTAAACAGTAAAAAAAGGTATAGAAACATTATCAAAACTGTCTCTTTGGAAGATCTTAAAAAAAACAAAGTAAAAACTCTAAACCAATGTCCTTCTTACATTGAACAATTTATTATTTCTGTCACTAATAATTTTAATTATGCAAGTAAATAATTTAAAGAAATTAGTATGATAATCTTAAGAAACTCCTTTTGAGAAATTGTCTACTAAATTAGGAGCCAATAAGTTTTGGTTTTGGTACGTTAATGTGTAGTTTCTTTAATCATTTTCGCTTCTCTAATCATCTTTGCATATGTTCTATACTTCAAACTGTAATTTCCGTTGTATCCCCGCCGTCAGTTGGCCTCACGCCGATTGACGAGAAGTTTTTTCTTCCTTCCGTTTCTTTCCTTCAAGTTCTTTTCCCTCTTTTAATGGCTTTGACTTCTGTTGTTTCCCTTTCTTCTCCGGCAAATCAGGACGTCGTGGTTCCCGTAACTTCTATCGTCACTCAGTCACTCCAGAACCATGTTGCCACTCAATCCCCCCAGACCCCTGCCGTCAATCAATCAGAGATGAAGATTAAATCATCCTCAGTTCCGCTTGCAGTTCCAGCTGCGAAAGTCCCGTCATATGCTCAAAGATTTAAGTCCTCTCTAAGAAATATCAGGAAGATATCAGACCCCTCCTTTCTCGAAGATGGAACTCCAGTTGTGAAAGCTCCTGAGAAGGTCCTCCTCCAGACATCAGATATGTGGAAGGATCATTTAGTAGCGCACTTTCATGGAAGAATGCCTCACCATGGGAAGGTCTAAGCCGACCTAAACCCAGTTTGGGGAAAGTTTGGAAACATCAAAATAAGAACTGTTTCAGATACTTGTTGTCTCATTCTTGTGCCTTTTGTTCAGACCAGAGATTGGGTTTTGGAGGTTGGATACTGGCAGGCAGGGAATGTAGCTTTCTCAGTATATCCTTGGTCTTCAGATGGTAACTTAGCAGCTCAAGAACTTACATCTGTTCTGACATGGGCTATATTGAAGAATGTGCCTCCGCAATTATACTCTCTAGATGGAATCAGTGTGGTGGCGAGTGGCATTGGTGAACCGCTACACACAGAGAAGTCAAGGTTGGATCCATATCATTTTGGTGACACTAAAGTTAAGGTAGAGATAAACTTGGAGAACCATCCTCCTGAAGTGGTGGAGGTTCGAGACTCAGTGGGCAATTCGGTAAGGATTAACGTTGAGTACCCTCGCCTACCACCAAAATGCCTAAATTGTGAGAAATTTGGCCATTTAATCAACATGTGTAACAGACCGCTGCAGAAAGTAGCAAAGGCTAAGTTTCAGAAGAGGAGTGGGGGTATAGCAGTTGTTAACTCCACTTCAGAGCTGAGCCCAACGGAGGTCTCCTCTGTAGTTAATCCTGTGGCGCAGTCTGAGACTTTAGCAGACCCTGCTGATGTGCAGAAAACGCAATCAGCTAGGTCGAAACGTAGGGCCCATTCTAGATCAGAGAGAAGGGCTTGTTCCCGTTCAAGAGCCAGAGGGATGAGCGCTCCTCCTGAGGTGAGAGAAATGAGTGAAGTGTCTCGACCCAAAATCAAAGAGGTGAAACATGATTCAAAAGCTTCACCACTTGTGGACAAAAGGCTTGAAGTGAGGTCGAATGAAGCTCCTAAAATTACTGATTCTCTAGAAGGCAAAGTAGAGGAAGATTACAAAGGTGTTAATGCTATCGAAGATCAGAAGGAAGAAGAATCTATCTGGCTAACAAAGCACACAAAGGCTTATAGGAGAGCGCTGAGACAGGAGGCTTTATGGAAAGCGTCTGCTGAAAAATTCTCGCCAGCTAGGGGGCTGTGTCTTCGACGTCGGGGTACTTCCTCGAGTAAAAAGATCAGTTTATAACTTGTGCCGTCTTAACCCATTGTAAATATGAAGATAGCAAGTTGGAATGTTAGAGGTTTGAATGGAGATGATCGCCAGAGAGTGGTCAACCGTTGGTTACGCAATCTGGAGTATTCAGTAGTTGCATTGTTGGAGACTCATGTACAGGAGGAAAATGTTTTAGAAGTTTATCAGAAGGTTTCTAATGGTAAGAGATTCGAGAATAATTATTCAGAAGTTAATGGTGGAAGAATTTGGATCGTGTGGGATCCTCTCATGTCAGTTATAACTTACTGGAAGTCAGACCAAATGATTCTTTGCGGAGTGTTCGATCCAAGATCAGGAAAGCATTGTACTGTAGCCTTTGTGTATGCTCATAACACAGAGGTTCAGAGAAGATCTTTGTGGGCAGATTTGGTCAAGTTTTCTTCTCACCCTCTTGTAGCAGATACGCCTTTCCTAGTTATGGGAGATTTTAATCAAATTCTTACTGCAGATGAGCACTACTCTCTGGTGGAGTATACTTTACCAGTTAGAGGTATGACAGAGTTCAGGGATTGTCTGGTGGAAAGTAATTTGTCGGATCTTGAAATAAGAGGAGTGTTCTACTCTTGGACAAATAAGAGACCAGAAGATCCTATTATTAAGAAATTGGATAGAGCTTTGGGGAATGAGAAATGGAGAGAAGTGTATCCAGAAGCGATGGGTTTTTTTTGAGGCACCGGGAGATTCTGATCATTCTCCTTGTGTAGTGGATTTTTCAGGAGAAGAGGTTATTAGAAGATCGAGTTTTAAGTACTTTCTTTCATAGCAACTCATCCGAAATACTTGAAAGAATTGGAAAACACTTGGGCTGAAGAGGTTCAAGTTGGATCTAAGCTATTTATGCTAGGGCAAAGACTGGAGAGGGTGAAGAAGCTCTGTAGGAAATTGAATAAGGAAGGGTTCGGAAATATTCAGCAGAGAGCTAGTGATGCTTTGCAGGCGCTTAAGACTGTCCAGGAGCAGCTTCTTTCTACACCAACCGAAACTCTATTTAGAGAGGAGTTTGTGTGCAGGAAGAAATGGCTATTTTTTTGAAAATGCTCAGGCTATATTTTTCAGTAGGAAGGCTCGTATAAGATGGCTCATCGGAGGTGATGCTAACACTACTTTTTTCATAAAGGGGTGATTGCTCATCAAGGTCGTAATGCCATTAAATACTTGTTGGATTCTTCAGACCAGAAAGTTATTAATCCGCTGCAAATAAAAGAGATGGTGGTGTCCTATTTTCAGAGTTTAATGGGTACCGTGGATGAGGAGGTGAGTCCTTTGTCTGTGTCTGAGATTCAGCTGTTGGTGAGATATCGGTGTTCTGAGGAGTTGTCCAGAGAGTTAACCAAACTTCCTACATCAGAGGAGATTCAAGGCGTCTTGAAAGCCATGCCTAAGAATAAAGTCCCTGGGCCTGATGGCTTTGCAGCTGAATTCTATTAGGAAGCATGGTAGGTGGTAGGGGAAGATACTATTGGAGCAATTAAGGAGTTTTTCGTGTCAGGCAGAATGCTGAAGCAGTTCAACGCTACAGCAGTATCTCTTATTTTAAAAATTCCTGGAGCAGACAAGCTTACTCAGTTTAGGCCAATCTCCTAGTGCACCACAATTTATAAGGTGATTGCGCGACTATTGAAGAAGAAACTGAAGCTATTTATAGCAGAGGTGGTACAGAGAAATCAGGTGAGGTTTGTGCAAGAGAGACTTCTTTGTGAAAATGTTTTGCTTGCCTCCGAGTTAGTTAATGATTTCCACTCTCATGACCCAACAAGAAGGGGATGCTTAAAGATTGATCTTTCTAAGGCATATGATAGGCTAAGTTTGGAGTTTGTCACTAATACGTTGTTGGCACTTGACCTTCCTGTGGAGTTTGTAGGGTGGCTGCGAGAATGCTATATGACAACTTCTTATAGTATTGTAGTGAATGGAGAACTCAATGGTCACTTCCACGGTCGACGGGGACTTAGGCAGGGAGATCCCATTTCTTCACTTCTCTTTGTTACAGCAATGGACGTTCTCTCTAAGATGCTGGACAAAGGTGCCTTAGATGGGGTTTTCGCCATTCATCATGAATGTGAAGCGCCTTTGATAACTCATTTGAGTTTCGCGGATGATGTCTTGATATTTTTTGATGGCTCGGAAGAATCTCTGAGAGGTATCTTGAGTATTTTGGAGGAATTCAAACATGTATCAGGGCTGAGTATTAATAGAGAAAAGACTGAGCTCTTACTAGATGGAGGAAGTAGCGAAAGGTGTAAAGCATTAGCGGAGGCTGTAGGAATTGCGCAGGGCTCTTTGCCAATAAGATATTTGGGTGTTCCTCTATCATCTAAGAAGATGAAGAAAACAGATTTTCAGCCTCTTCTTGATAGGATTTGTTCCCGGTTCAACTCCTGGACAGTGAGACATTTATCCTATGCAGGAAGATTCCAGCTAATCCAGGCTGTTATCTATTCAACTATTTCTTTTTGGGCATCTATCTTCATTATACCGGCAGACTGTATTAGTGAGCTGGAGAGAATGTGTAATGCTTTCTTGTGGAGGGGTGTTCCATCCTCTGCTAGAGGAGCGAAAGTTGCTTGGGATTCTGTTTGCTTGCCTAAAGAAGAGGGTGGTTTGGGTTTGAGAAGGCTGGCAGATTGGAATAATGTTCTAGGCCTCAAGCTTATTTGGCTACTCTTTACAGCAGGAGGCTCATTGTGGGTCTCGTGGGTAAGAAGGAACCTAATCGGAGAGGAGAACTTTTGGCAATTAGACCCTAGTAGAAGAAGGAGAGGTAGTTGGATTTGGAAGTCAATCTGCGAGCTAAGAACAATGGCGCGCCCAATGGTTCAGTGTGAGGTTGGTTGTGGGATTACTGCTAGTTTTTGGTTTGATAACTGGACAGGAAGAGGTCTGATTATTAATGTGACAGGTGAAAGAGGCCCGATGGTCTCTGGTTTATCTGAGTCGGCTTCTGTGGCTGATGCGTTAACAGAAGAGGGTTGGTGGTTAGATAGAAGTAGAAGTAGAAGCCTAGTGATCACGGCTATTAAGCAGTGTCTTCCCGACCCACTTGCAATTTTAAATTCAGAAGCAGAGGATGATACTTACGTGTGGAAACCGAATGGTGATCTGAGTTCTGGATTTTTTTCTTCTTCAGAGACATGGTCGGTTCTACATCCTCCGGGACCGCATGTGTTATGGCATAGGACGGTGTGGTTCTCAGGTCATATCCCGAAACATGCTTTTCTGACTTGGGTGGCAGCAAGAGACAGATTAACTACTAGGGATAGGCTTCTCAGATAGGGATTACTTGTTCCTGCAGTTTGTGTCCTATGCAATGGGGGAGATGAAACGAGACATCACTTATTCTTTGATTGTCCATACAGCAAAGAGATTTGGGTACATTTCACCTCTCGTTTTCATTTGTTTCCTCCTAATGCTTTTGACGATGTCCTTAGATGGATGGTGAGAGCGTCCAGTAACTCAAACGTTGATACCATCATCAAACTCCTATTCAAGCTTCTTTATACTACATATGGAGAGAAAGAAACTCAAGAGTGCACACAGATACTGCCAGATCCTCTCATTCACTTATTGGAGAAATTAAGAATTTGATAAGACTTAAACTTGACCCTTTGTCAAGGGCTCAGCAGGTACTAGTTGGAGGGAGGTCCTTGTTGGCTATCTGGATCGAGACTTTTTAGGTACTAGATTTTTTATGTTCATCGAATTTATTTAGTTGTTGCATAGAAGTTCCTGGTTGACTTTAGGGTTGGTTGGGCCTTAATCGTTTTTGTAAAGTTTTGTTGAAATAAAAAACAAAAAAGATTTGGATTAAAAAAAAAAAGTTCTGGTCCTAAAGGGCGTGGGTTCAAAGACCACTGTCAACATTACTTTTTATTTTATTTTTTTCGCTTCGTACATGCTGACGTGTACTCACCTTATCATCTACAGTTTGAGCACCATGGTACCCGCACTATTCGATGACGTGGAATTTTAGTGGTCACTAATCGAGTGAGACGAAACGATAAGGAGCCGAGGCAAGAGGTTCAGTATTCTTCTTCTTCATCCTCACAAAAAAAAAAAAAATCCCCTAACTTTCTCTTCGCAATGGCGATTGCAACATCGATGAGTTTGAATCTAATTGGAGCGTTCAAAGGCTTATCCCTCTCTTCAACCTCGTCTTTCCTCAGAGGCGATTTGAATCTAAACCCTAAAACCTCCTTCACTGTGAGGCTTCCCTTGGAAAAGCTCCAAGCTCCGATTCCATTGACGATTGAATCTGCGCACAAGAAAGGAGCTGGAAGTACCAAGAATGGTCGTGATTCTCCGGGACAAAGACTCGGCGTCAAGATTTACGGTGACCAAGTCGCTAAACCCGGCGCCATCATCGTTCGTCAACGTGGCACTAAGGTAACTCCGAGAACACGAAAGTTTACAACTTTAGTTGATTTTATTGCAGATTATGAGTAAATTGATTCATTGAAATGATGTTGTGTTTAAACACGAAACTGCTTGTGTTTGTGTTTGAATTAATTCATTGGATTGATGTTTTTATACGCAGTTCCATGCTGGGAAGAACGTTGGGATTGGTAAAGACCATACAATCTTTTCTTTAATCGATGGATTAGTCAAGTTCGAGAAATTTGGTCCTGACAGGAAGAAGGTAAATCTATGATCATGTCGATGGAAATTTCATTAATCTTCTTTTGGTTTCAAAAATGTGATTTTGGTGTGTTGCAGATTAGTGTGTACCCAAGAGAAGTTGTGCCAGAGAATCCCAACAGTTACAGAGCAAGAAAGAGAGAAGCTTTTAGAGTGCAGAGGGAGAAGAAGAAGGCCCGACGCGAGAACTACACCTACACGCTTCCTACCCCTCAGCTGGTTCTTGCATCTGCAGCGATCGATGATGAGGAAACCAATTCCGATTGCTGAACATCGAATGTGAATCTTTCTTTATCCTCTCTTTATGTTTAGTCTTTGTTTATGATCATTTCCCCTTTGTTAATTTACAAGAGGCTGTGTTTCAAAGGTCCAAGAGTTGTTGTATGTCTCCAACTCAAACCTCACTTTTGTCATATTGAGTTTAAGCCTTCGGATATTTTCTCCAACCCGAGCCACCGCGAGTATAATCTTAATTCATTATTGTTCATTAGCCAAACCAAACAAAGCCGATATATACTAAGGTTCAAACTATGCTGAGTCATTGATAAGATAAACCGTTAAAAAAAAATGAGAGATAGGTCTTTGGTGAATTAAGATTCCAAAACCAAACCATACCAATAAAGCAGAAGAGACAAAGAGAAAGAAGAAGAAAGTATCTCTCTTTTTTTTGTTTTCTCCGAAGTTTAGTTTAGATGGAGCTTTTTGCAGACATTGCCCCATTCTTAAGCAAAGCCTTCTCTTTTTGAACTTTCAGGCAGTTCTGTACTGGCGAATATATTGTTGCTTCAACTCCATAGATTTTTATGAGAGGTTTTAGAGCTTTCTTGGATTTATTAGAGAGATGACTTGAGAGCATAAATAAAGTCTTGCACTTGTTTTTTTTTTTTTTTTTTGATAAAGGGCTTGCTAAAGTCTTGCACTTGTTGCTTATTTAATTTCTTCAGTCTAGAGAGTTTGTGTTGGTTTAGGCATGTTTCTTCCTCTTTTCTAGCTAACCGTAAGATTTAAAAGAAATAGTGGACGACAGCTCTCTGAGTTTTCCTTTGTGCTACTACTTACCCTCTCATCTTATCTGGCTCGGTTGCTTTGTTGGTGGTGAATTGCAGAAAGGCTGGGAAGCCTCTTGGTTACAAAGAATGTCAGTTTGACAGAGTCATCAAGGACTTCATTTGAATGAAGCCTAAGGTTCGTTACTAGATCTGTTGGTTTCTTCTCCTCCTCTGACTAAGTGCTCCAACGTTTCAAAGAATGTCAGTATCTCTACTACTTTTATTGCGTGGAATGATCTAAGTAGTTTGATTGTGAACACTTTACTATCTAAGATCATCGCTTTAACTAAGTGCAGCAGAAGACAGTTTCAGAATAAAAATAATATCTGATGTTAATTACAGGTGAGTGAGATGTCTGCAGCAGGTGAATAGTTCCTGTTCAGATGTCATTTTGACGAAACAATGACTGAAACTTTCATGACATTGTGTTTGTTGCAGCTTGAGAAACAAATCATTCAAGCTGGAGGTAAAGTTCCTCAAGTGGAAAGACTAGACGGAGAACCAACTATAGATTGCATATCAAGCATGTAGTTGTATTGTAAATTTCCACTCTTGTCTTATTGCTCATTTTATCAGCAGTTGTTTTGTCTTGATGTAAAAATCTTTGCTTGCTTGTCTTTGTTTTGTTCTTGTTTTTGGTTTTTTTTTTTTTTATTTTTTTTTTTTATTTTTTTTAAGAACCCCTAAATATGAAACTCCCATTGGAGCACAAAATGAAGGTGTTTCTTAACTAAGATTCTGAATTACATTTAATTACTAAAATAATCATTAAGAGATTCTAAGTGGGGTTGTGGGTTAATCATGCTCTTAAGGTTCAGGTTTTAGTTTTAGCAAAGTTATATTATGAAGTAAACAATGCTGAGTAATTGAAAAGATGAGAGATATGTCTTTGGTGAATTAAGATTCCAAAACCAAACCATACCAACTGGAGTTTATATATTTACAATCTACAGTATTCCCAAAGTCAAAATATGAGGCCTTGATTGTTAGATCTCAAAAAGTATTTTTACATCAAATTGTTCGATCATACTTATTTTGTTTATGAATATTTATATCACATCCATGTTTATTCTACCATATGGATCATTTGACTGTGTTATTCTTTAAGCTATGTTTCCCCGGCTTAAGCTCAGTTTGCAGGTAATATTCTCACGAATATATGGTGGCTACATATGGTGAATAACACTTGGTTATAACTTTAAAATCTTATAGAGCAGTTATGAATAAGACGAACAAAGAAAGAAGCAAGTCAAGACATAAAACAAAGCTTTACTACTAAACCCCAGCCCATATAGCACAAACAAAGGGTAGCCCACGAGTGTAATATTTTGAGCTAAAGCTAAGCGTAGACATGGACGTTGAGAACGACTAGAAAGAGGATGAGAAAGAGACCGTAGAGAACGGTGTGGACGAAAATAGAAGCTACCGTTGTCTTCATGTTCATGAAACCCACAGGAGATTCTTTCCCAGGAAACTGCAGTATCAGCCCCGGCGATAGAAACGCGAATAGAGCCGAAGCTATCAACGGTGCTGCCCAATCATGCATATCTTCGTACAACGACCAGAGCAAGAACAAAAGCAAGAGGGTAAGAAGAGAGCCTTAAGAAACTGGAAAGTTGGTTGTGGAATAATTGAGAATGGGAGATTTGAACGTGAAGAGAATAAGAATCCAAGAAAGCCCATCTCTTTTCAATTAAAGGAAGAGAGAGACTTTGTGGAATTCTGCTTTAGTAGTGGAGTTATCTTAATATATTGTTTATGGAAAGAGCCAAGTAATATAATGAGATAAATGCGTTATACTTCCTAATTTCAGGAGTTATATAGGACTCATGACCATTTAGCCAAAGCAAAAGCACGAGACAGAGTCACATGAATAATGATGTAAGATAGAATTAAATCTTTTAGAGAAACGGTTCTATCATTCTAAGTCACATTCAACTCTTATGTGACAGTGATTCACATGAATCGGGACCCTCTTGTGGTGAACAATTAAGCTTGGAGGAGTTTCGTTATAACATGTGTCATGTAATCTTGATTTGAAAACTAAAATTTGATAGGAGAAAAAACTGTAGTAGATGATATGTGATGGGTCCGACCACTTGCTAAGAGATCAATATATTCCGTTGAGAGATCAATATTTTCTTCTCTTTCGATTTGACGTATAATATTATTTGAACATTTCTAATAATCAGTTTAATCGGTGTGTACAATTTAAAATGATTCCTTATATCGACAAAACACAAAGCGTGTAAGTTAGGCACCAAATAACCTTAAATAGTAATAAATCAAGTTTTTGTTCACAAAATAAAACACAAGAGAGTTTTTTAACCTATATTTACTAAAAGGTAAAAAAAAAAATATGTGTATATTTGAGTTTAAGATTTAGTGATTGAAGTTTAAAATTCAAAATATTTAAGGTGTGGGATTAGAATTTAAGATTAGAATGTAAAGTAATTTATTGATTAATAAGTGACTGAAGTTTAAAGTTCAATATCTAAGATGTGGAAATAGAGTTTAAGATTAGAATTTAGAGTAATTTATTGATTAATAAATGATATTTAAAAAGAAAAGAAAAATCTTCTAGTGTTACTTTTTGGTTAATGTATTTTGACTAATTTAGAAATCTGCATATAATTTATAAATCTTAACAAAATATGCTGATTTCCAAATCTAAGATGGTGTTATTCAATCATGTATTTTAAAAGAGTTTAAATCTAAACACAATCCACTGTTATTCAATTGATGATTCTAAATTCTGTTTCAAAATTCAGTGTTATTCAATCTATGATTAAATTTTGGATTTTAAAATTTGGTGTTATTCAACTTTTAAGGATTTTAAAATTCTTTGTAATATAATTGGATTTCAAATCATCAGTGATATATTCAAATGAATAAATGATTAAACTCAAAATCCAAAGAGGATTTCAGAGATTTTAGAATTCATCAATTTTAACAATCTTAAAATTTAAAAATCTAATAGATTGTAAATATTTTAAATTGAATAACACCCCTTAATATGTGAATTTTAATAAGTACTTACGAATCTGAGGGTTTTCCTTCGGATTTTAGTCTTTGTATTTTTAACAAAGAAATCCACACAAATCCACCCAAATTCATTATAAAATCAAATCTATTAATGAATCCGTATGATTGAATAACACTTGATTTAAATTAGAATTTATAAATCATGGAACCAATAACACTTGATTTTAACTTGGATTTTAAAATCATGGAATCAATAACACTGAATTTTGTTTAGATTTATAAATCAATTAAAATACATAAATCAATAACACCCACTAAAAGATATTTATTTATCATGTTTGCCCAAAAAATATAGTATCTTTTCTAATTTTTTTTAAAAAAATATTCACGCATACTAAAAATATAATAAATGTTTATGACTAAATTTATTATATTTTACAATATTTTTTTTCATAACTATCAACCAATAGTATTTAACCAATTCAAATATTTTTCAATTAATATTTTTTAAAAGTATACAATCTATCAACATTAATTACTAAAAATATTTTAAAATTACAAAAATATATCATTATAAAATAACAAATAAATATAGAAAATTGTTTTTTTTTGGAATACAGACAGTATTGTTTTACTAAAATACTCTGAAGTAATTAAAGAAGAACAAAGTATATTTTTTTCTTCTAGTGCATGAGAATGCGCGTACGCGTTTACACATAGAGATGAGATGTCCCTACAGCCTACTACACACCAAATCGCAATCTTATTAATTTGTTAGAATTTATCACATTCAAAAAAAAAATCAACTTCGATTAGAAATAATTTTAAAGCTAATTGCCTTTTCTCTCTCTCAGCTCTGAGGAGAGAGATTTTTTTTTGTTTTGTTGACGGGATCTTTTCTGGGAGACTAACATTGGGCTGTCGATTCTGGGAAGAGGAAGCCCCATCAGTTCTTCTTCGCCGGCTTTTGTCTCCGAGAAGCGTTGCTCCCTTTAGTTTCGCTTTCTCTGGCGTCCTCCGGATTCTTTCCCGGTTCCGTCTCTATCGGGTATGGTTTATGGTTACTGTTCGCTTGTTTTGATTTCAACGGCTGAGATTTCGATTAGATCGATTGATGTTCACCGGTGTAGAAGTCGCCGACAATTAGCCCCCCAGCTCGTAAGAATCGTGTGGTTCTTGCGAGTGGATTGAACCTGTTTGGCGAGTTTGGTAGAATTAGGCGGAACTTTAATGGCCAAAAGTCCAAGGGTGAATAGTAAAATTCTTCCTTATAAGTAGATGGAGTAAAATTTTGAATTCTTTACCCCATTTTCTACAACTTATCCAAGAAAATTTTCTCTCTACTTTCTTTGGGGATCTTCAAACATGTTTTCTGGAAGAAGGACTCGTTCCTCAACTAGCTCCAATTCTCGCAATTCCGAGGGAACGAGCTCGCAACCTCCAGTTTCAGCTCCGAAAGAAGAATATTCTTCCCCGTTAATCGATCCGACGGACCGTGAGGCTTTTTGGGCGCTGGGAGATGAGTCGAGGTCCGCTAGGCCTGGGACTTGGGTTCCAGCTTTGCCGGACGTCGATCAAACTTCCGGATATCCGAGCTCGGCTCTTTTTAACAGTATCGATTACATGCGCGAATTCTGCCGAGTTCCAGAGGCTGTCGAGTTTCGTCTTCCACTTGCCGGGGAGGGGGACAAGGATGCGCCTGAGGGTTTTTTCACGTGTTACAACATTTTCTTACAACAATGCCACTTATGGTTTCCGATCCCGGAAATCATTGTTCATTACCTTCACAGGCTGGGGCTACCGATCAATCAGCTGACTCCCCCTGATTTAAAGCAACTCGTTGGTCTCCTGACGCTGAGTTATGATCAGGGAATTACCCTTAACGTTGATCATCTCGAGAGTCTGTTGAAGCCCACGGGGCAATCTCAGAGGATCACTCTATGCCCTCGTGACGAAATTGTTACGGGCTGCTTAACGCTCTCTACTTCTTGGAAGAAAAATTTCTTCTACGTTCGTATCGATAGTGCGTCAGTCGAGGAGGGTTGCATTCCGCTTTTTACGACCACGTGGGGTCGGAAAGGTATGTGAATCGAGTTCATACGAATCTTCTTCCTCTTATTATTCTTTTTATTCGTTTATGTTTTTCCGCAGTGACCAACCCTTTGCCTCCGTATCCCGCGGATCTCCAAAACATCACCACTTCTCTCAAATGTGGTGAAGTTGGTTGGTGCAGTTTTTCTCCGTAACGCGTCCGCCAAGCGGTTGCCCTCTTCCGATCTCGACTCTTTGCGGATACTCCGATTTATGAAGAGGATCCGTTTATCGGGGAGTTTATTCCGTATGTTCCCTCGATGAGGAGTGGCAAGTTAAGCTTCCGAAGGGATACAAATCCGGTTGTCGAAGATGATGACTCTGAACGCGCGGCTTCTCCTGAAAATATTCTCAAGGACTTCCTTGATAGTCAGACGGAAGAAGGCGTCTGGACGAAGGCGGGCGGATCATCGACCTCCCATTTTCCGGACATCGACCATGATCAAGTCCCGAAGTTTATTAGGGGGTCTGAGAAAGCCAAGGAGGTACGTGTGTTTATTGTTTTCTTTTTCGAGCAGTTTCTATGATATCGCTTAATATATTTTTTTTTTTTGGTAGGGTTTCCTTGTCATGAGCCGGGCCCTAGACAGCCGTACTACTGAAGCTCGCCTTGCCGAGTTTCGAGCGAACATGGCTGAAAAAGAAGTTGCTCGTCTTCGGGCAGAGGTCGAGGCCAACCGAGCCGAAGAAGTGGTTGCGAGGGAGGTTGCTTGCGTGAGGGATGAGTGTGCGGCTAGATCTCGCCGCGCCAAGGAGCTTTCTGATCAAAGGATTCGCCATGCTCGTCGTGCGGGCAAACGAGAGGTTGCCGAAGAGATGAAGACTCGGCGTGAGCGATTTGCAACCGGTTGTTTGGATGCCGAAATTTCCCAACGGACGTACGGTGATTATCGCGAATGTCGCGGGATCGTTCATGGGTTATCCTTAACTCAGAATGAAAGGTATTCCTTTTCTGAAGAATTTTCCGTGCAGCGGGAAAGCTTGAATCGGGAAAGAGATATGCAGCCCAAACTTTTCGACCTTAAGGCGCGCATGTGGGATCAATGGAATCCCATCGTGGTGTCGCCGGATTCGGTCGAAGTTGGACCTAGTATTTTGGACGCGGAAGGTGAAGTCGATCAATCCGCGTTTGATGACTTCAATGTGTGATGTTTAGTTGTTTCTCGATTTTATTGTTGTTTTTCCGGGATTGGCCGTTGGTGGCTTTGAATCCTTACCGCTGGGCGGTATGTACTTGAATGCTTTCTAATAAGAAAAAATCTTCTAAGTATGAAATTCGTGTTTTGTGTTAGATGTGGAGGGAAGGATATGAGTTTTCTTCTCGTATCTAGCTCTTTGGTGTAAATCGTCCGATTCGTTTAACCCGGGATGTTTCTATTTTCGCGAGTGTTTAGATGTGGGCGAAGAGACATGCCTTTAGGATCTCGATTCATGCCTTGATACATTAGCGACCAGTGTGCTGGGTTTAGGGCAAGACCTAGGTTTACTTTCGGATTGGGGCTATGCGATGACTAGTCGGCTTTTGTTTTGCCCGTTGCGATTTTAACCTGATTCCATACCGATTTAGAATCCGCGATAGGTTCTCGGCTTATACGATTCGTATGG